CAGTAAAATAAAAAATCTCCCCTGTTTACACCCAAACAAAGATGGCGGAGCGATTGTGAAGTTTTGTCACGTGACTGTGACGTCATGCCGACATCGAGAATGAGCAATTATTATTGTTAGTCGAAACGTTTCTTGGGCGCGTAAGTTAACAGTTGTGTACGACTGAGACCATATATGCTATCTTTTAAGTTTCTTCTCTATATTTGTATGTTTTACCTTCTGTTGTTTTCTCTATATATGACAGGTCTTGCATGCTTGGTTCGTACGTCAAAGGGGATTGTTACAGATGATGTAATACATGAGATGGAACACATATATGTGACCCATCTGTTACGCACCCCTGTGATGACGCTGTTCTGACTGTTAGGCGTTTTTTTTCTTCTTCAAAATAGCATAATATTGATTGTCTCGTGGACACGCATTTTACTCCGGATAGAAAAAGTCTTTTAAGAAGTCCGAGTGGTTATGAATGTTTTTAACTCTAATAAATATAACGCCAGAGGGGTAGTTATATGTATTAATAATAACTTTGAGTTTAAAGCTCACAAAGAAAAGAAGGATAATACTGGTAATTTTTTGGCTCTAAATATTACAATTGAAGGATCAAGAATGACTCTTATTACTATATATGGTCCAAATCAGGATAGTCCTGATTTTAACAATATTATTTCTGAGACTATTGATGATTTCGAAAACAGTTCTGTTGTGATATGTGAAGACTTTAATTTAGTTCTGGATCCTAAGATTGATAATGACAACAACTATAATAACATTAATAATCCTAAAGCTAGAGGAAAGGTATGGGAAATTGTAGAAAACTTTGGTCTTATTGATATATTTCGAGAACAACATGAGGACAGTAGAAGGTAAACATGGAGAAAGAGCAACCCAGTTAAGCAAGCCAGGCTAGATTTGTTCTTAATTTCTGAAGATATGCTCTCTAGTATTGAAAACTCTTCAATAGACCCAGGATATAAATCTGATCACTCTTTTCCTAAATTTCAGATATAATTTAATAAGTTTAAGAGAGGGAGGGGGCTATGGAAACTTAACATTTCTTTGTTACATGATGTGGACTTTCTCAATATAATAAACTCTCGTATTTAGGAAATAAAAACTCAATACTGTTTGCCAGTTTATAATTTAGATAGTATTTCTACTATTTCAGACACAGACTTACAATTGACAATTAGTGACCAGCTATTTTTAGAAGTTCTTTTAATGGAAATAAGAGGGAAAACTATTTCATATTCGAGTTATATAAAAATTTTTAGAGAAGATAGTCTAATAAAAAATATACAAGATTTAGAAAGGAAAAGATAATGTAAATTAAAATGACTAAGAAAATAAGAAAAAAGAACTTTTAAGCAATTAGGTTACGCTAAAAACAAACGGGAATATTATTAGATCAAGGGCAAAATGGAAAGAGGAAGGGGAGAAACCTACAAAATATCTTTTGGGCTTAGAAAATAGAAATTATACCTCCAAAATCATTCCTAAGTTACAGAAACAAAACAATGAGATAATATCTGACCAGGCTGAAATTTTGAACGAAGTCAAAGATTTTTTATGAAAAATTATATGATGATTCAGATGATATAGAAATATTAATTTGAATATTTTGTTTATCCCATTACAATGTTCGAAAATTAGATGTTACGGAATCAGAAAAGTTAGAAGGTTTTATTACATTGGAGGAAGCAGGGAAAACTTTAAGTAAAAAAATAAATAATTAAAGCCGCGGGTTCAGATTGATTTCCTGCAGATTTTTAAAAAAAATGTTTCTGGAATCAGATTGGTACTTTTGTTGTTAGATCCCTTAATTCTAGTTATTATAAAAATGAACTGGCTATTACGCAAAAACAGGGTATTATTACGTGCATTCCAAAAGGGAACAAACCAAGACATTTCATTAAAAATTTGCGATCGATATCACTTTAAAATATTGTTTATAAAACAGCATCAGGGGTTATAGTGGGTAGGATAAAAACAGTCTTAGGAAATCTTATAGATAATGATCAATCAGGATTTTTAGTTACATTGGCGAAAACACAAGGCTTATTTATGATATTTTGAACTATACTGAAGACAATTATATACCTGGAATGCTTCTTATGATTGACCATAACAAAACTTTTGATTCGGTATCATGGTGATTTATAGACAAAATTCTTTCATTTTGTTTTGTTTCGGGGATAGTATTAGAAAATTGATAAAAACACTACATAATAATGTTTATTCTGCAATAAATTAGGGATGGAATCTCTCTACTTTCTTCAAAGTGAAGCGCGGCTGTTGCCAAGGGGACCCAGTAGCACCTTACAGTTTCATATTATGTACAGAAATATTAGCAACCAGGTTAAGAAATAATAACAACATAACAGGTATAATTGTCAATAATGTTCCTATTCTTCTCATTCAGTATGCAGATGAGACTTCGCTAATACTTGATGGGTCAGAAAAATCTTTTTGTGAATCAATTTTCGAACTGAATTTATTTGCTCAAATATGTAGGTTAAAAAACAATACTAACAAAACTCAGGTAAGATGGATAGGAAGTAATAAATACAGCAATGCCATCTTTTTACCAGAGTTAGGTTTACAATTGGGTAGGTGTAAATTTACACTTTTGGTGATAGACTTTAGCGTTAATTTACATGAAATAGCTAAATTAAACTTTGACAAAAATTTGATTAAGCTTAAATATCTAGTTAAGTCATGGAGTAGAAGACGATTCACTCCTATTGGTAAAATACACGTGATTAAATTCTTATTAATATCACAATTTAATCACTTGTTCATTTCACTACCCAAACCAAGCATTAATTTTCTTAATAATTTAAATACTTATGTGTATAACGTTCTTTGGAATGGAAAAACAGAAAACGTGAAAAGAAATGTTATAACAATTGATTGGTTTGAAGGTGGTCTGAAAATGTTCAACATAAAATCTGTTATAGATGCTCTAAAACTAGGATGGTGATAGAGATCTTTTCAAAGTACAGTTTCTAGAAAGTGGCAAGTTATATATGAATTGTTGAAATGATTACCTACGTATGAGTCATAGGACATGCAAACATATGTTTTGGTGTGATGTTTTCAAAGCTTGGGAAAGATTATTGAATTCTGATTTACCAAAGGGCAGACAACTCTCCATTCTAAAAAAAACCTTATGGCATAACCCACATATAACTATTGGTGGAAACTCTGTCTTTTACAATAACTGGTATGTTAAGAGTGTTAGAGTTATAAATCATATGTTGAAACCTACCACGAGTTTACACAGAAATATACATTTTTTACAAATTTTCTTCACTTTCAAGGGTTGTCAAATCTGTTAAATGATTTATTGATACACAAAGGATTCAGGATATAAATCTTCTACTTCCTTTCATTCCTTTGAACATAGAACCATTTTTTTAATAAGACTCGAGGAACAAAATATTTATCAACAATCTTATCTAAGAATGATTAAACTCCAACAGGTAGGAAAAAAATGGGCAGATCAGTTTGACTTTGATCATTCTAATTGGGCAAATATGTGTTGTAAGCCCACGTTGTACTTTTTGTAAATCAGAGTCAGAAACCATAACTCACATATTTGTCAAAAAGTTCAAAATTTACTGCAGAGCTTGGAAGTATTCTTAGACGCACTTTTCATTCCTTTCACTACTATTAAGAATCAATTATTTTGGGTTCTGGTAAATTAGAAATGAGTTCAGTAAAATTAAGATTGAAATTAACATCATCGATACACATTACATTCACAAAACTAGATGTCTTGAAACCATACTAGACATAAATTCTCTAATCACATTTTTGAAAGACCATCACCATGTCAAAAAATACATAGCAACCGCTCAAGGCGATACTTCTCTTTTAACAGAGAGTGGAAAAAAAAAGATTTTTATACTTCTAAAGACTTAAATTGAAAAGATTTCTATATCATCTATACCTATTCATATCTATTAATGGACTCCTGAACTATGACAGTTGGTTTATATGAAAATTTTATAGTTGTTTTAAGTAGATATTACTATCTTGGAGTAAATGTTTTCAATAAAACAATTGTCGATGATTTATTTTCAACTTTTTGATTTTTGGAAGGCCTGTCTCTCTCTAATCTGTCAGTCCTTGTCTCTGTGTCGATTGTCTTTGTGCGTATATGTCTTTGTGTCTGTCTTTCTTTGTCTGTCTGTGTCTGTCTGTCTATCTGGCAGTTCTTGCCAGTGTCTTTTCTGTCTTTGCCTCTGTACACATGTCTACTTTTGTTTTGTCTGTCTTTGTTTGCCAGTAGTTATCTGTCTGTCTCTGTTTCTTTCTTTCGATAAAACCACAACACATGACTAATATAATTAGTTTTTATTTCAATGTTTTGAAATGACATCTTGGATAGATTTATAACATATGCGTTAATAAATATATACTATCATACTAAGGTATTTGCTTGTGTATAAGATATTGACATTTCTTTAAATGTACACCATGTATAGAGATAAATATATACAGAACTGGTGTATATGAATGTTAAAATTATGAATGTTAAAGTTGATGTATGGTATATATGAAATCTTTAATTATGAATGTTCCATACAGTTGCATGGTGTGTATGAAATGTTTGATATGAATGCTCTATACGGATGTATGGCATGTACGAAATATTTAAGATAAATGTTCCATACCGTTGTATGGTGTGTATGAAAAATGTTTGATATGAATGTTTCTGCACAAATGCATGGTATATATGAAATATTTAATATGAATGTTACATTCAGTTGTATGGTGTGTATGAAATGCTTAATATGAATGTTACATTCAGTTGTATGGTGTTTATGAAATGTTTAATATGAATTTTTCTATATGGATGTATGGTGTGAATGAAATGTTTAATATGAATGTTTCTATACAAATGCATGGTGTGTATGAAATGTTTAATAGGAATGTTACATTCAGTTGTATGGTGTGTATGAAATGTTTAATAGGAATGTTTCTATACGGATGTATGGTGTGTATGAAATGTTTAATATGAATGTTTCTATACAGATCTATGGTGTGAATGAAATATTTGGTAAGAATGTTCTATACAGATCTATGGTGTGTATGATTTTTTTTTATATAACTGTTCTTTACAGGTGTATGAAATGTTTGATATGCATGTTTTATACAGATCTATGGTGTGTATGATTATATATGAAATATTTGAAATGAAAATGTCATAAATTAACATGCTCTGTTATGATAGTACACACGATCAGTAAGTCAGATTAATATTCCCTACAGATCCAATACTTAGATTACTTGGTATAAGAATTGAGTATGGTTACCATGAAATGTGAATGAAATGTTTAGGATGAGTGAACGGTGAAATATGTTATAGTCTCCCAAATATTGTCATGTGTATGTGCTTTGAAAAACTTAATAAAAATATAAGTTAAAACAAAATATAATCAAGGTTGCTAGCTGTCCCCAGAGTAAATTGACCCCGTTCCAGAAATAATACGGTTTTGTCATAACCGTTCATAATATGAAGCAATGAGCAGTCTATATGGATAGGAAAATATTTTTCCTTTCATTTGATGTATGCATTGCAATTATACTCAAATATGCATCTCAAAAGCAATCAGATGGCACGACAGAGCTTCTAGATCTAAAAACAATCCGTGGAGTAATGCACCCGTTCCCACATAGAATCGCTTCCCGCTGCGCTGCTACTTGCTACATGCTGGGTTTTCAATTTTTCGTCGGTTTGCACTAAATTCTGTGCATGGATATGCTTTGTTGTCCTGCTGAAATCTCTGGACGCTCACTAACTGTTCTGCCGTCAGGACATCTCTCGTTATGACATGTTGTAACAAATACTTCGTGTCCAAAATAGGAAACCTGACTGTGTAGATTATGTACCCTAGTACCTCCCGTCGGTTTGTATCTGTTACCTCCAGGCCCTGACGTCCACACTCCGCCTCTGACCACCGAATCACCGCCTCGTACACCACGCTCTCCTCCACCGCTAATTCGTCTGACTCTGTGATACTCTTTATACAAACGCTACACAGGTCGACGAAACTGTTAGACTTCAGTGCTTCTTTCGAAGACCTTGCGATGACGCGTCGATAGTCCTCCTTCAGGCTTTCCTCTGTGTAGACATGGGCTTGTTCTAATAGAAGACATACATTTTTAGCGGTAAGAGAACTCTTTAAAAAAGTTTCACACTTTTTGACAAGACGGTCAACCATGTATTTCCTCGCAGCTGACAGGACAGAGGTTGCGATATTGACGGTCAGTTCTATTGTGTCTGTATACAGATACCTAAATTGAAATAAAAAGTACACTTTTTCTACCACTAGAACACGACATGACATACATTATATCCATTTTACTCTTGAAACGATTTAAAAAATTGAAATAGTATGAAGGCATGAAGACGGAATTGCGATCTTAATTCAACTTGCAGATCAGTATCGATTAATTTATTTGATATGTTTAGGAATTTTGAAACAGTCAATCTTACCTCAAAAACATTGTGAACACCTCTTGTTCAATATCTAGAATTGACACTTCGCCCTTTTCGGCGAGATTTCCCTCAAACATGGCGTAAAATACAGGGCTTCTGCTGATGAGAATAGTTTTATGCGCGGGAATCCTATATTTGTTCTCTCCAACCAGGAAAGTGACGTCACAAGCTATACCGGAAGTGAATAGATGATTCAGACATTCTACCAGTGATTTATCACACTGCCAACTTGATCCTTGAGCATGCACAGTTGCCATTTCTGCCTTGAAAGAAACAGGCGTGTGTGAAAATAGCTATATAAAATTCAAAATACATTGATTTCATGATAAGACCTACATTGAAAGTTCGTTGACGATATCGTAAGTGTACCATTCTGAACGTTTTTATTGTACGAAACCGTTATTTAAGTATGTTCTTTTCATTTTGTCAGCATTGATTTTTTTGGGTGTAAATTAATTGGGTCCAACTTGGGTGCAAACTACTCAGGTGTAAGTGGTTACGCTTGGTATACGAATTACGATGTGCAGCCTTTGAACATTTGTTGAGATATTACGATAACAAAGTTCAGATATTCATAATTTCCACAGTCTGTGGAAGGTGGGTCACTGTGCCAAAAATAGAATATTTGATCGGCTGGAGAGCTATTGTTTGCTGACACTTTGGGGAAAAGACGATAAGTTCCGTCTTTTCCTGATTAAGTTTAAGCATGTTAGCGTTCATCCAGATACTGATATCTGTCAGACAAGCTTCCAGACTTTCTGAGACTGTATTCCGACTGTCCTGTGGTTTTATGACCATGTAAATTTGTGTGTCATCAGCATAGCAATGATAGCGAAGGCTATGGCGACGACAAATCTCTCCAATCGGTTTGGAGTAAATACAATATTTTCGTGGTCCTAACACCGACCCTTGAGGAACCCCGAAATCTAGTACTTTGTTATGTGAGGTGGCAGATCCGATGGCAACCCACTGTCGTCGTTCACTCAGGTATAACTGTATCCAGCATAGTGCGGTATCAGCCACTCCATAAGAGTGTTCCAGACGTTTATAAAGTATGCCATGGTCAATGACGTCAAATGCAGCTGACAAGTCCAATGAATCACATGATCAGGTTTCAAACTTATGAAGTTCCCAATCGAATTCAGGGTTTAGGTACTTCATACCATTCAACAGTCTCAATATTCTGATGTACGACGGAATTATGTTGGTTTAAACTTTGTTTTATTCAAATTTTGTTTGACAATACATCGAAGTACATGTTTATAGAACAGAAAAGGAAACAAAAACAAGTGTCGTGACACTTATGTTAATTTGTTACCTGCCTAATAATCAACTTTTCAACACTAGCTACAAGAATGAAGTAATATGTTCAATAGAATAATTACGGGAATAGGGGAGGGGGTAGTGGATTGGATATGCAGTGGAAGCCAGGAATGAATAACATATCAATATACACATGATCATCAGATGGTAATATCATATTGCTCTATTGCGATGGGTATGTGGAACACGATTCTGTAAAATATAACTATGCAATAGTAGATGAAAATTTCAGCAATGCTGTAAATGGACACTCGATTAAGGTTAAAATGTATATACAAGTTACATAGAATAAATCACCACTAAATCAACTATTGACAAAATTAGTATGTCACAAAGCACCGCCATAATTATTAAAAACGTTGCAGTTCACACTTATCAAATAAAGTCCATAAAACACTTTCCCGCCTCGTCCCTGGCACTTCCTGCTCTTTCAAGGTAACACATCACTTTATCAAACTATCATAATCATGGCCAGTTAGTGACATGATATGGTATAAAGAAATGCAATGTCAAAATCACTGAATAAGCATATAAATCCAAATACATTTTAAAACATAGTTGTAAAACGAATGCAACACAACATACATAAATATGTATGTCAGAATTGAAATTATTAAACGACTATTCGTTTATTTGAAATCTTTGGTTTTGAGTATATAATTTTGGACGGCTAGAAAAATTGTAGTGCTTTTTTGATGGGTTTGAGAGTTATCACCAAAGAGTAAAAGATTAGTAGATAGTTGATACGGCAAACTCAGAATATGAAGCTGTCTTAGTGCTGTATATTTATTACATTTTAGCAAATAATGTGTTGAGTTCTCGATGGCACCGCAGGAACATTTCGGGGATGGTATGATGTTTTTCGTAAACAAGTGTCCTTTTAGGGAGCTACATGACATACGCAGTTGTGGTAGATTTGAGCCAGGCGTGAACCCTTAAAGTAGTATGAAGGTGGACATGATTTACTATTAGATTTCAGAAAGGCTTTTAAATAGGAAATGTTTTACAAAGAATAGGTATCAGACATGATGGGTCAGAAAGTCTGGTATTATAACTATGAATATCACTAACTGAATTAGGTATGAGATTATACAGATACTCTGGAGTATTTTGATAAAACATTTTATGGAATTGTAACAATTTATGATTAAGTCTACAGTCTATTAATTTATTCCATCCAAGTTCTGTATAGAGTTTGTTTAAGCTTACAAGTTTAGTAGCACCTGAAACAATCATAGCAGCTTCCAAATTGACATTCTCTAATTTAGAAATATATTCTTTGGGAATGCTATCCCAGACAGTATCAGCATATTCTACAAGTGGTCTAATAAACGAAAAATATATATTTTGTAATGTTTGCCTGTCTAGTTTAAATTTTAGAGATCGCATAAAATTTAATCTAGACGTTGCTTTCTGAATTATTTGTTTAACATGTTCAACCCAACTGCAATTATTCGAAAAAAGAACTCCAATATGTTTATGCAACAGTACCTCTGATATTTCTTCATTGCACATGTGTAAGATTGACTCTTTTTCTACTAAGGGTCATACTTTTCGTTTTTTTAGGATTGAAATCAACTAACCAATATTTGGACCATTCAGTAATTTTTAGTAGATCTGACTCCATAATGTTGAATTATATTAAGTCTAAGTACGTGGATGGTGTACGTAGAAAAGTGCTGTCTAAAAGGTTGAAAAACAACCATTTCGAAATAATGAATCACACCAAGTTTATTCAAACATCAGAAGTTCCCGAGCTGATTTAGCATGCAACAATCTCATTACTCCTGATGGTCGTTGGTACCGGTGACTATGAACTGGCCGCGTACGCGCAAAATTTCAAGCTTAGTTGTCCTGTGGGAATTGTCAACATTTGATAAAGCTCTAACAGTTAAAAGTTCCCAAAACATGTGTGCTAGAAAACCGACTTTCTGTTTTTACTTCTACGAATGACATGTAAACAATACCGCAGGAATCGCTAAAAATATGAAAATACAGACGGTATTAAGCATTTAGCTTTATTAAAAGTTTATTTTCTGTATCATTTTATTAATAAGACTACAAATAAAAAAGCAGTATTTATATGTTTTTAAACACGTTACATCGATATAGTCACACGAACATATATTATGGTCAAAGAGTCCGTACCGGTCTGGTAACTTCTACAAAGAATGTAATTGAAAAATAAATCATCCATGGAACTGAAAAAATCATCCATTCTGATGAGGAAAACAACAAATAATAAAACAAACAAAATGTTATACCAGTGCTAACAACGCAATTTAATCCGGGTATGTCGTGTTCAGAACAGCGAAGTTCTTATCTATGTGTGCACACATGTGTGATACGCTGTAAATCTTCATACTTGTACATCGTAAAATTTTAACTCACGATAACTCGGTCAATTTTTTCAAATATCAAAATGAAATTTGGTATAAAAGTGTGTTATAGTCATATGAATAACATGTCGTCTGATGTTGGTTACTTTTTTAGATTAATTTTAGAGATATAGTTTGAAGACGCTTCACGATCTGTAGATTTCTTTACACACGTGTGCAACGTCGACGATCGTAAAAATTCAATTCGTCATGTCTTTGTAATTTTTTTCAAATATCGACCTGAAGTTTGGTACTTAGGTGTATCATAGTCATATGTACATATTACGTTATAGGTTAATTTCAGAGGTAAAGTCTGAAGTCGCTTCACGATCTGCGGAGTTCTATTCGCAAACTTGTGCCACGCCACCGATAGTACAATTTCAATTCATCATATCTCGGTCGTTTTTTCATATATCTAGCTAAAATTTGGTGTATATATCAATAAAAGTCTTATTATTAACATATCCTCTGATGTCGCTTACTTTAGTAAGAATTTTTAAAGATATTGTCCGGCGACGTTTTCTTAACTGTACAGGTTAATATACACACGTGCCACGCCGCAGATCATAGAATTCAATTCATCATATCTCGGTCAAATTTTCAAATATCAAATTGAAATCTGGTATAAATGTGTATTATAGTCATATTAACAACACATCTTATATCGCATATTTTATTTGGTATTTGTATAGGTTTTCTCTGGCGACGTTTGTTGTCACTTGAAGACGCTTTTAAGGAGGACCCAATATCCCTAAGCTATAGTTGTTAATGTTGGTTACGATGAAAGGTAACAGATTTTTTACAAGTATGTCAACACTAGTTTCAATCATGTTTGTATTATGTACTACATATGTTATGTGAATAAAACAAAGTTTAAACTAAAAGAGTAGTACAAAAGTAAGGGTTTTGGCGCAGTGCAGTCTCGTATATATCATTACCACCAACCCGCACCACCCTGCAGCACCACCCTAACCGGGATGGTACCGTAATGATGACGTCATGGGAATTCCTACACATGGTCTATATTTAGATGTCTACCAAGCAACACAACCGCCGCCGCAGTGGCTTTAACCATCGCCGAATTACAATTAAATGCCCATAATTATTAGACTTATTCCAATTGGTTTCATTAAGTCAAAACAAAAGAAATTATTTTGTACTTCATGTGAAAAACTTATTTAAGTGTTCATTAATGATATAGAAATTAGATCTAGATTACTGTGGAAGTATTGAGCACGTCTTAGAAAATTGCAACTCGATAATTTTGTTATCAGCATCTGTCCATCCGACAGTCCTCTTTGCATTATACATTGTGACCAGAATTAGTCCATTTCCTAGCAAATCATCTCAGATCTGGTACGTTTGATGGCAGTATATGAGGATGATAACGTAAGGAGATGTTGCGTTGAATTTTATGATAGTTATATGGCCCTTTGATAATCAACGAGCATTTTTGAGTTGAGGCCCAAGAGTACAACCTGTTCCAGATTTCAGCCTATTCCTTTGGCATTTAATGTGTTATGGTTATGGACATAACCAATAAATATCTCCCTTCACCTCTCGCAAGAGATTTATTATGAGTGATGAGAAACATGATCAATATCATGGATTTGTTGATGCTATTTCTTGTTATCTGCATCGATCTTGCGTCTGTTATTGTCCTGGGGGGGTTAAATTTACTCCGTTGTCGGGGAATAACACTTAGAAAGATACCAACAGTCCTGGAATTTGACCGTCATCGATAGTTGTGCTTCCATGTGGAAAAGATGAACTTGCCATGAATCGGATTTGTCCATCACGGCATTTCACCGTGCTACATCCCTGCGTTCCATACACCGTTGTGTCCACTCCTTCGTGTAAGACGACAGTATAGGTATGATCTCGTGTTAATTCGATGATGTGCTGGAATTCTGTATTACACAGTGTCTCATTTGTTAACAATGTGTGCCTTTCCATATACAGAGTATCACCACCCTGACTGTAGACTCCTATTAGAACATTCTGCTCATTCTCATACGACCCATAAAGCTGCAGTCCATGTAGGAACATGTCAACTGTAGAGACAAACGAGATGGAATCATTCTCACCATAATTCCATGAATTCCATGAACTTTCTATCGTATCCGTAAATCTGTTTATGTATTCGAATATTCCTTTTACCGGTTCTCGAACTTTTCGTTTGTTCTCGCTGAATTCTGTGCATGGATATGCTTTGTTGTCCCGCTGAAATCTAAGGACGCTCAGTATCTGTTCTGCCGTCAGGACATCTCTCGTAATGACATGATGTAACACATACTTGGCGTCTATGAGGGGAAATCTAACAGTATAGAGGATGTCACCCAGAATCTTCCGTCTGTTTGTATCCGTCACCTCCAGGCCCTGACGTCCACACTCTGCCTCTGACCACCGCATCACCGCCTCGTACACCACGCTCTCCTCAACCGCTAAGTCGTCCGACTCTGTAATACTCTTCACACAGACGCCACACAGGTCAACGAAACTTGTCGACTTCAGCACTTCTTCTTGTGATCTTGCAATCATATTTACACAGTCCTCCTTTAGGCTTTCCTCTGTATAAATATGGGATTGTTCCAATAGTAGGCATACATTTTCGGTGGTTAGAGATCTCCTCAGGAAGGTTTCACACTTTGTGACAAGACGGTCCACCATGTATTTCCTAGCAGCAGACAGGACAGAGGTTGCGGTGTTGACGGTCAGTTCTATTGTGTCTGTATACAGATACCTAAATTTAAATAAAAGATAAACTAATTCTACCAACAGTTCGCCTTGCAACACGACATGACATAAAAAATATCCATTTTACTCTTGATAGGATTTGAATTTTTTTAAATCGTATGAAGACATGAATACAGTATTGTTTTATATATCTGATTTGTCATACTGCAAAGAAAAATGTCGCACGGTGATTGGTCGAATTGCCAAGGTACCTGAAGCTATGTTAGTATCCTTGCCGGGGTACATAAGAGCACGCGCGCCTGTTGTAAGGGAGATAACTCGCAGATTCGAATCGAACACACCAGAGAACGTTCGTCTGCTAATGTCAACAATGAACAAAATGGCGAAACGGTTTGCAAGCGTCACGGAGAGTGAAATTGAGACAAAACGGGCGTCACTTATACCTACAAACACAAAGAACAGTAACAATTCAGCAAGCAAAACCTTCAGAGCATACTTAAGCGAAAAGGAGCAAGAAACAGATTTCGAGGACTTCTCGAAGCCAAGATTAGACGAGGCATTGGGCCATTTTTATCTCGATGCAAGGAAACAGGATGGGAGTCTTTACAAGACGACAACGCTTGAACATTGCTTTGCAGTATGACAAATTCGTTATACAGGTCTTTGGCAGGGTACATGGTCTCATGTTCGCTGTCAGGACCTTATGTACCCTTCGCCGAACTAATAATGTTCAGGTATTGTGAAACAGTTAATCTTACCTCAAAAATATTGTGAACGCTTCTTGTTCAATATCCGGAATTGATATTGCGCCCTTTTCGGCGATATTTCCCTCAAACATGGCGTAAAATACAGGACTTCTGCTGATGAGAATAGTTTTATGCGCGGGAATCCCATATTTGTTCTTTCCAACCAGGAACGTGACGTCACATGCTATACCGGAAGTGAACAGATGATTCAGACACTCTACCAGTGATTTATCACACTGCCAGCTTAGTTCTTGTGCCTGAGCAGTTGCCATTTCGCCTTTGAAAGAAATTGGACGATGAAACAGGCGTGTGTGAAAATAGCTATATAAAATTCAAAATATATTGATTTTATGAGTCATTAATTGAATGGTCGTTGACAATATCGGTGGTCAACTATTCTCAACACAACGTTTTTATTGTACAAAAGCATTCTATAAATTGTGTTTTTAAAATTGTCAGTATTGATTATCTTTAATTGTTAATAAAACACAATATTTCGGTAAATTCAATGAAACCAATTTGGGTGTATAACATTCAGGTGTTAGAAGTTATGTTCGTGCTACGAGTTACGATGCGTGGCCTGTGAACATTTGTTGAGATATGACGATAACAAAGTTCAGAAGTCCAGAATGAACCGATGAATCAAAATCTTTTATGTTGCTGATGTTTAACAACAAGAATGCAAAATTATCCCTTTGGGAGCCTCACATTCAGGAAGCGTATGAAGAGTGGCGTATACCTACTTAATTACGATACAGAACTTGTACAGATATGTTATGGTACAAAATCTATTTAAAAGATGTATAACAAGTATCTAATTATCTTAGAATCATCAACAATGAGCATCGTTCAAATTGTTTGTGTATTTATCGTCAGCCTATCGTAATCAACTTCCGGCTTTGAGTAGTAAACTCGAGCTACCCTGTCGTTTCACACCAATAATCTGAGCCTACATGGCATTTTCTGTAAATCATATTATCATAACACAAGTAAAGATATGATAACATCGAAGTATAACTATACACTTACCGTACAATTCGTAAGATTATGATATTGTCTGATATTCCTTTTCCTTTTTTTTCTACCTGGAGAATCCGACTTTGCAGTGTTACGAGGAACTTCAAAACGAAAGTTAACTCGTATAGGGGTACCCGAGAGGATATTTTAGTGTAAAGTTTGTCGACAACTGTTAAATGGCCACTTGTATACATATTTGTGTTGATCATTTCTCTTTTCGTCTACGTATTGGTATTTTCAATAAATATCCAACATATCAAGTACAATGTAAAAAGGATTCTAGGATTTTCGAATTTTTAAAATGTTCAAGACGCAGTTATCATATTCTGTAATTTATTTAAATTATGTTTCCCGCTCTCCAAATATTCTTCAACTTGTATATTGTCTGATATTCCTTATCTTTCTTTCTACCTGGAGAATTCGACTTTGCAGTGTTACGATGAACTTCAAAACGAAAGTAGACTCGTATAGGGGTACCCGAGAGGATATTTTAGTGTAAAGTTTGTCGACAGCTATTATATGTCCCTTTTTATACATATTAGTTATGATCATTCCATTTTTCGCCTACGTATTTAGTATTTATAATAAATATCCAACATATCAAGTACAATTTAAATTATGTTTACCGCTCTCTTGATATTCTGTAGGAAGTTCGCAGAGTGTACTTTGTCTCCACGCTGACAGTTATATTCCACATGATTGTACACGATGTTTTGTTTACTTAACTACTGCTCCTCTATCTATATTAGATTGTCGAGTACTAAAAGTTCACAGTGCATATCTAAATCTGATACACCGAATATTATTCAAATATTTCAACTAATCGAGGATGTAAAATAATTTGAAATCATGCATTACATTTTCCGGTATTCCCTCTAACACAACAACAAATTAAATATACGATTATACGTCATTCGAATGGTAACAGTGGTTAACAACTCCCTACATCTCTTTCACTCTTACAATATACCTATACGAAAATCATTTAAATATCTTAAATACACACAGGACATCCGCATCTCGACATTAGGTACTATTGTCATTCTCTTATGTGTGTGTCTGTCCATGTGCATGTGTGTGTCACTATGTAAGGGTGTGCCCATGATTGTGAATGCATTCTCTTCTCTTTCAATAGTATTGAATTGTACGTGTATTGTTCGTTATTTCTGTAACTCTTCATTTCTGGAGGAAATAAAGGAAATAATAATAATGATAATTTAGACATCCGCATCTCGACATTGTCTTTCTACGTGGAAAGTATTTCGACAAATTCTGATATATCACGAAATGTCGACTTAAGTTATGTACATGACGTGACATTCGTTACAACAAGGACAGTTATATTAACGTTTCTGTAAATATCCTCTTCTATCACGATAACAATGCAGTACTATTATGAAGCGATTCATAAGTAAAGCCTAAGTAAAACGCTCGAGCTAATAAGACGCGCGCTCGAGAAAATATTTCCAGCTCTCGAGAAAAGATGTCGAGGGCTCGAGATAATTAACGGCTGCGCACTCGTGTAAAATATCAAAATATTAGCCACACTCGTGAAACATATTAATTGTTATTACTGACGACACAATCAATTATCTTTTATATATTTCGAAAACTAAAATAAAGTAAACTCAAGTTTTTCATTTCTAGAATAATAAAATTTCAAATAAATCCTTTTTGCCATTAACACTATTTCGAAATGGTACGGACATGTGCGCCGCAGTAACGTACTTATCATATTTATTTCTGCGTTATCTCCCCTCGTCATCGTTCTTTGTCGTTATTTCGTATGTCTATCAATTTCAAACGTGTAATATATCTCCTTAAGTATATGACAGTATATAAATATGACATTCATTAGCAGGTGACAGTGAATATTGTCAACCCGAGAAAACCATTGTCACCCGAGGCGAAGCCGAGGGTGACAATGGATTTTTAAGGGTTGACAATATTCACTGTCACCTACTAGTGAATGTCATATCTATTTTGTTACACCAAAAGTCTTTGTAGCTCAGAAACGGCAGCAAACCTCGATAATGACATCTTGTGTATTGATTATCTGCTTTTTACAATCGCTATCGCAGCGGCGCTTGATAAAATTGGCTTTTGCCGTCAAACGTTCTTGTGACCATCATGGTGGGGAAACGAAGCGGTGCATGCACATTTTTCGCGCATGTGATATTTTTCACTGTCTCATGTCAATATCACCCGTGCCCCTTAAAACCAATGTATTTTCGGAGGGTGACAGAGATTTTTGTTTAATTTTCTCCCAACCAATCAAATAGCTAGAAATTCACTTGAGGTGTAACAAAAGCAAATGTTTGGTTATTTGGGCAAATACTGATATATAGACGAGGAAAGAACATATGTATATTGAGCATTATTGCAATAGATAGCAGCCGTGTAACGTGTTTTATCGCGTATTTAAATGAATTATATTCGAAGAAAACAGTATCACGATTTATTAGAATGAGAATGAGAAAAAAGTATCTTGCTCAAAGATACAACACAGTGCCGTGCCGTGAAATATTTATGAAATATTCAGTGTGAGGAATGGCGAAGAATGTTTTTAAAATCGGAGAAACGGATACAATGGATCGATTTAATGATACAAAAACTCTTCAAATAAGAACAAAAGAGAGAAAGGCAGAGTTTTGATGTTTGGGGGGTGTACCAAATTTCAAATTTTCCAGGGGTGGGGGGGGGGGGGGGTGGTTGTTTTTGAAGCCCATAAAAACCCCTCTGGATCCGCCACTGTACCCATACACCATCATCTATGCTGTAATTAACTATTGCGGACCATCATGGCGGACCTGTCGGGTAAAATCGGGCAAATGTAATTATAAATGAGCTTCCTATCTAAATACGTGTAGCGGCCAACGGGTATCCCAGCGGCGGCAGGATGGCACCTAGACATAGCATCAGGGACTACCATTTGACTGGCTTGCTTATATTGAATTTCAATGTCAAATTGCTGTAACATTGCGAGCAAACGTTCATATATAGCATATAGTTCCCTTCAAGCGATTGACAGAGATGGGGCGAAACACCTGGTGGTCACACTCGACGATGAAGTGAGTGCCACGGACATAAGAAGCACACTCTGTCACTGTCGTGACTACACCGAGACGTTCAAGTTTGGTGGGTCCATAAAACTGTTGCCACTTGTTGAGTCCCTTTGAGCGGAAACGTATTTATGTGGTGTGCCATCCTCATGAATCTGATAGAGCATAATACCCACACCCTTACTAGAAGTGTCTACTGCAATACGGAACGGGACATCAAAACGCGGGAACGCGAGGGCATCAGAATCCACTAGCAAGTGCTTTAGAGTTTCCAAAGCATCCCTATGTTCACTGGTCCACTGAAACTTCAAATTCTTTTTCAAGAGCGTATAGATTGGTGCGGCAATTGTACTGTAGCTCGGAATGAACTTCTTGAACCAGTTCAGTAAGCCCATGGCGCGTTTGACTTCCATAGTATTGGTAGCGTGGTGGTAGTAACGAATACACTCGACTCTGTCTGGGGGAGGTCGAATCCCTGCATTTTATATCTCATGTCCTAAAATAAAACACTTGTCCACTGCAAACCTGCACTTTTTAGGGCCAGGTCTCAACCCGGCAGTACGAAACCTTTGAAGTACCTCCTGTATGTCAAGTAAATGTTGTTCAAAT